GGGCCCCCCCCCCCCCCCCCGCACACACACCTCTGATTGGCCAAGGGGGTTTGGTGGCCACATCCCGTGTCTCACTACTGATTGGTTGTAAGGGCTGTCAATCATTCAGCCCCACCTCTTGCTGCCAATTGGTTGCGAGGGCTGTCCATCACGTGTCTCCATTCCCTCCCGCCAACTGGTGGAGATCGATGGAGCCACACAACCGGGAGTCCTCTCAGCCAATCAGTGGCGAGGGTAGCAGCTATTTTGGGCTCCCCGTCTTGTTGGCACCACCCTCCCTTTCCCCCCGTGGTGGGCTGCGTAGCCAGGCCAAGCCACAGCCCCATGAGGACTACTGCCCCCTCTGGGGAGCCAGCATTTTATTTTCAGTACGGGTTTTTTGTTGGCCCCCCCATAAATTTGGCAAGCGTTGCCTGATTTTACGGGCAATGCTGGATTTCGTGATTTCCATGAAATCATGATTTCGGTAGGTCCCTAGTTATAAAACTCTGCAAGGGGTGAAGTTGTGGTCTTCTGGCTCCCCTTACCCCTATCATGTCAACTACACCAGCAACCTGCCCCTCCATTTTTAAACCAGTTTAAGATTTGCCCCCTACCCCCACCTACGAATGTTCATACCTAGCGTTGCAAACAGTATCAAGCTTAGAAAATAGCAGAGACCAAATCTTCTAACAAATTGTAACACACTGCAAAGAAATCTGCAGGAAAAGTAAGGTATCACATAGGAAAAGCAACCATCTTGCAAAGACATACAAGTCTTCAAATTGCACAAAGCTGAAGGACAAAAATGATGACGACAGGTTGCTCAATAAATTTACAAAGCAAGGATCTAGTACAGATTGGTTTGTGGTTTTGGAAATAAATAAAGTTAACTTCGGTGAGATAAGCCATTTGAGACAGCTTAAATGGCCACCCAAAATTAAAAATGAAAGCTAAATCTGTTTATCCTAGGACAGGCTTAGAATAAGTCCATGAGTCTAAATCTACACTGGAACCTCTGATAAGACAGTTATCAGTTCGGTTTCAAACACAGAGCACTAAGTCTCATATGTGCTTTAGCAGAGTGGCAGATAATCAAGCAGGTGGACATCCGGTCTAATGACCAGGATACAAAACTGTTACCATATAAATTGAAAAAGAAGTGTTTAACAGACTGGAATGCATTAGAGATAACCGATATAGATCCCAGTGTATCCCCAAATCCACATCAACCACAATGTCTTATTCACATTGAGAAAAAAAAAA